CCTCCTCCTCCTCCTCCTCCTCCTCCTCCTCCTCCTCCTTCTCCTCCTCCTTGTCTTGTGTGCGAGTGTGTGGCTTATAATTGTTTTGAGTCAGAAGTCGGCAGCTGTCAAAGTGACATATTGTCTCATTAGTCACTACCCCTACCGCCTGTCAAAACAATGGGGTCGGATGCTGCTTCCCCTCCTCCATTCTATCTAATTATCTTTCTCCCTCATTCTATATCTTTCAATCTGTCTCTCTTTCTATCTGTCTGCCTATCTCTGTCTCACAGGTACACATAAATACAAGTATACATAGTGTAAATTACCTAGGATAACCCAAGAAATCCAGACAAAGTGCTATACTCTGCTTGAAGATGTGAGTAAACGTGATGACACAGTCTTGTGGCTCTCTCTGAGACAGAGAGCTAGATGGACAGACGGGGAGCTTGACAGACAGACAAATAGACAGACAGAAATGTTTGTGTACCAGCAAAAAACAAAGGGAGGGCGATGGTCATGTAATATTACCCCCCTTTTAAACGCTCATCAAAGTCAGCTCTTATCAGATGTTATCTCCCTTATCTTGTCACTGTCATGGGGTGGACTTTTTTTTTTCTTGCTTCAAGGGAACAATATTATTACATCTTCTTCTTTCCTCCTCCTCCTCCCCCTCTTCTCCTCCTCCTCCTCCTCCTCCTCCTCCTCTTCCTTCCCTCCTCCTCCTCTTCCTCCCCCTCCTCCTCCTCCATTGCTTTTGGTCTCAAACTCCTCCAAATCATGAAATGATCTTCACGGGACACTTCCATCTGTGTTAGAGCATCACTTGGGAAGAGAAGAGTCCCAGATTTGCTGGGGAATCACATATTTCTTACCGCTAGACATGCTGAAAAAGGACAACTGAAATGGCATTCCCACAATGCACCACTGGCTCCCCGATTTTTTTTATATGGTGCACACTGACCATGGAGACCCATTCTCTCACATGTGGGCCTACCAGCTTTCTCCTGCTTGATTTGAAGCTGCTAGAATTTATGCGTATAAATACGTCAGAAACATTGGCTCGTAAGACGTATTTATACGTCGGAAACAGTCAAAGGGTTAATGATTTATCACTGTTAATCTTTGATTCATTAACCCTTAAACTGTCCAAATGTAGATCCACGTTTTCACTGCCAGCACTCTGAATATTTTGAAAAATATTTTTTTTTTTAAATTAAAGAGGGCAATTTTCTGTGTATTATAAGATCAAAAAACATTTAGGACTAGTACTTACCGAGATATAAGACCGTGAAGTTGGTGCTGGATGCTCACCTTACAGCAACATGAAATCCTGCCGTTTGCAGAAGTGTTGCCGATATACCTTTTTTTCTCATTTTTATTTTAATTTATATAATTTTTATGTTCTGACAATTACAATTTATAATAGTTCTTGTGATTTCATAGCCAATCTTTGTTCTGACACTAATATTAGTACTGAAATAGTACTCAAAGTCACAATCACACAAGCAAGTGTACATTTTCACCTGCCTTGGTCATTTACTGTTGTCTAGAAATTTATACAAAGTATTTGTAGGTCTCAGCAATGTTTTAGACATGCTGGAGTATATATGAATCTTCTTGAAGCATGGTGTTTATGACAAGTGTCACTAAACTGCTGACAGGGTAAGCAGTGGAGTGACACAGTGATAGTGCCCTGCTGCAGGGAACCCTGGCTTTATTTGTTTACACTGTTACATACAAACATGTATGTCTGTTTGTTTGTCTATCTGTCTATCTTTGCTTATCTTTCTGTCTGCCTGTGTGTCTCACTTTTGGTCTGCCTGTGTGTCTCGGTCTTTCTGTCTGCCTGTATGTGTGTCTGTCTTTCTGTCTGCCTGTGTCTCTCAGTCTTTCTATCTGCCTGTGTATGTGTCTTTCTGTCAGCTTGTCTCTCAGTCTTAGAAAGCGGCTCGTAAACTAAAAGGTATTACACACGATGCAGTAGTCACGTCTGATTCCTGATGAAGTGAAAATGCATATTACTTGCCACTGAGTTGCCAGTCATGGATATTATGTCTTCTATCTACAAGCACTGTATAGCACTTTGCCTGGAATTTTTGGGTTATCCTATGTAATTAACACTATGTATAATAACTGTACTTATATTTACGTGTGACAGAGATATAGAAAGATAGACAGAGATATAGACAGATAGACAGAGACATAGACAGAGATACAGACAGATAGACAGATACAGACAGACAGACAGTCAGTGGTATGAATAATGAAAGGATGTTGCACAATTTTACACATGGGTTATTATAGAGGTTTTTGATATTTCCTTGATCATTTGTGGCCACATTCATATCTTTCCTCTTACAAGGGGAGTGTTAATATGACATGACATCTGTGAATCCTTGGTGTTTGCCACGCTATTTGCTCTAGCTGGCGCTCAGTTTTACTGGTGCTCCCACAAGGTATAAGTGGTAATACTAAGGTAATACAGCACACACTGAGTGGTAAGACCCATTCTATACTGACCAGGCATCTCAGCCCAATCATGCCAAATTTGGAGGCAGGAAAAATAAAATGTATAAGTTTGGAGCGCTAGCGCCGCAAACGTAGATCTACGTTTGGACAGTTTAAGGGTTAATACAGTACTCTTAAAATATTAACTACAGTACTCTTAAAATATTAACTTTTTTGGCTTTATCTCCTTTCACTCATCAACCAGTTTTAGTTATTTAGCTGGACTAAAATAAATTCCAGTTCTCATTTACAAGTATCATTTTTGCTACAATTCACTAAATTAGTGATAATAATCCTATTTATTGAAACAGTCTTTCTTTTGTTTCAAAATATACAGTTTGAGCAAGAATCATTCTCTTAGTACTAATAACTGTTTGTACAATATTTTTCTTGTCTGTGATAAATTTTATATGTTATCTGCTTTTTCTTTATTTTCTGTTATTTGTGAAGAGCCATTCATAATTAATTTTAAAGTACATGCTTTTGTCATTATTTCTTATAGGAATAAATTCTATTCACTGCTCACATTTGTCCTTCAATATTCATCTGTATTATATAATAAAAATATTTTGCTCTGTTGTCAGTGTTTTTCTTATTATTCTGCATTCTTCAATTCTTAAAAATCTATACTACCTTAGATTAGTTACTTTTTGTTGTTTAAACACTAGGGTTTTCTGAGTGATAAACAAGCATAGGCAGGCAGGCAGGCAGGCAGGCAGGCAGGCAGGCAGGCAGGCAGGCAGGCAGGCAGGCAGGCAGGCAGGGCAGGCAGGCAGGCAGGCAGGCAGGCAGGCAGGCAGGCAGGCAGGCAGGCAGGCAGGCAGGCAGGCAGGCAGGCAGGCAGGCAGGCAGGCAGGCAGCAGGCAGGGCAGGCAGGCAGGCAGGCAGGCAGGCAGGCAGGCAGGCAGGCAGGCAGGCAGGCAGGCAGGCAGGCAGGCAGGCAGGCAGGCAGGCAGGCAGGCAGGCAGGCAGGCAGGCAGGCAGGCAGGCAGGCAGGCAGGCAGGCAGGCAGGCAAAGGGAGGCAGGCAGGCAGGCAGGCAGGCAGGCAGGCAGGCAGGCAGGCAGGCAGGCAGGCAGGCAGGCAGGCAGGCAGGCAGGCAGGCAGGCAGGCAGGCAGGCAGGCAGGCAGGCAGGCAGGCAGGCAGGCAGGCAAAGGGAGGCAGGCAGGCAGGCAGGGGGAGGCAGGCAGGCAGGCAGGCAAGGCAGGCAGGCAGGCAGGCAGGCAGGCAGGCAGGCAGGCAGGCAGGCAGGCAGGCAGGAGGGAGGCAGGCAGGCAGGCAGCAGGCAGGCAGGCAGGCAGGCAGGCAGGCAGGCAGGCAGGCAGGCAGGCAGGCAGGCAGGCAGGCAGGCAGGCAGGCAGGCAGGCAGGCAGGCAGGCAGGCAGGCAGGCAGGCAGGCAGGCAGGCAGGCAGGAGGCAGGCAGGCAGGCAGGCAGGCAGGCAGGCAGGCAGGCAGGCAGGCAGGCAGGCAGGCAGGCAGGCAGGCAGGCAGGCAGGCAGGCAGGCAGGCAGGCAGGCAGGCAGGCAGGCAGGCAGGCAGGCAGGCAGGCAGGCAGGCAGGCAGGCAGGCAGGCAGGCAGGCAGGCAGGCAGGCAGGCAGGCAGGCAGGCAGGCAGGCAGGCAGGCACGGGCAGGCAGGCAGGCAGGCAGGCAGGCAAAGGGAGGCAGGCAGGCAGGCAGGCAGGCAGGCAGGCAGGCATGTATGATCTCCCTTCCTCGCCCCAAAATCACCAACTCGTCCTTCTCACTCCCAACACACCCACCACTATCTTTCCATTTAAGACAAGCAAGCAGGCAGACCACAGCAGACACAGCAAATATGGCAAGGCCGGGCAGGTGGATGGGCAGACTAACAGAGAGATTGGTACACATATGGTCTCCTCCCTCCCTCACTTCACCCTCCCTTCCATCCATCCTCCTCACTCCCACCACCACCTCAAGATAAAATAAAATGACAGCAAAAATTTGTCTAAGATAACTGACTGAGAAAAGCATGACAATAAGAGTGAAAATTTATCAGTTTACCAAACATTATCTAAGAGAAACTTTCGTTTTTCTTTTTGGTTACCCTGCCTTGGTGGGATACGGCTGGTTTGTTGAAGAAAAAACATTATTTATAGTTGCCGAGTCACTGTCAAAGCTCTTATCTAAGCTTCCAATATAAGAAGTCTGAGTAATGTGATTTCAACTATTATTACTGGTGTTGGTTCAAAATATGAATTTGTTTTATCATTCATAGTTCTTCAAACAATTCATGAATCCTGATTTAAATTCTGCTCTAGCTGGAATTTTCTTTAAATTAAATGAATGATTTTTAACAGCATAAAAATGGCATTCCAATCTTATTATTTTTCTTGATGTACATGTATAATCAAGCCTATATAAACAATATTTTCAGAGTACAAAAAATATTCAGAACTTAATATGGTGAAGTATATCATCTGCTCTTACTGTAACTTTATCTGCTCATTCTGCTGGCAGTTAGTCATACTAATGTTTACAACACTTACATCATTCTCAGAAGTGCCACAGAGTGTACAGCATTTACATTCAATGCACTGCCATCGGTACTGTCTCACTGAGACCATCATGTGAGCTGTAAACTGCAAACAAGTCGGATGACCTGGAGGAAAAATTCTGCATGTAAATAAAAATGTACATATTCTCAAAAGTGCTTCAAAATGTAGAAAAATGTAGACACTTGGCAGACAAATCCTTTTATGTTATTATGTCTAATTTTGGGTTAAAAATAATTGGACTATAAGACTTTAAAAAAGTAAACCTTGTAAATATTGAGTTTAGGTACATGCAGTGTAAAGCAGCATATTCCCTTTACTACAATATTTGTTTGTCTAATTACCCATTATGTATGTGCTAGTTCATGTACAAGCCAAATTATAAGTGTCCCTTGCTGTACATGATATACGTGCATTCTGCACATGTGGCAGCAGTAGCACTAAGCTCAGTGAGGACATCAACACCCAGTTTCATAAAATAACATTCATTTACACCCAATTTCACAAAGTAACATTCTTCAGTGTGTTTTGTAAACTACACCGGTTGCACACAGCAAATTTATGCACAAACATAATTAAATAGAAATAAGACTGCATATTAGCAAATTCATATAAAGAAAACCCATATAGCGAGGAAAACTTGCACTTGAGGCTTTAACTATTACATGGAGCCAGTTTCGTATGATAATAATGATATGTAATACCAAAACATAGATGAGTAAGACACATGCAACAATTAAGATATTTTTATTTCTGAAACATTTCACCTATATGTGCAACAGTTAGATATCTTTGTTTTTGAAATGTTTAACCTATGCAGTAGGCTTCCTCAGTCAAATAAAGAGGTAACTATTGTTCAAGGCTATGGAGTTGAGCTCTTCTCCAGGTTGAGTGACTGAGCACCTCAAAATTATTTCATCTGGAGTGATAGACTGATCATATGTTTTCTTTTCCACCGCTTCTACTGTCTTCATATTTAATCACCTCTGTATTTCACTGAAAAAAGAGATTAAAGATTCTTTATTTCAACATATGATGTTTGGACAGAGGTGAGTGACATTTAGGTGTGCATGCAAAAAAGCCTCTTTGTATAGAAAGCATTTTGGGCAAACTTACACCTATCTTATGACTAATAAGGCAGGAATTAATTGACTGCTTGTACATACAGTCTCTAAGTGGTTGTAACAATAAATTTAGGAATTACAATGAACACTTTCACTGAATTTAATTGTTTTAAGGATTACATGATTATGGAAAAGTAATGCGTAGGCAAAACCTTTCAGAAATAAAGATAATGTACCTAAAAGTTAAACATGTATCATACTCATCTACCATTTTCTTTTAACACACTTGCCATCTCCCACCAAGGTAGCAGGGTGACCTGAAAAAGAAGAAACACTTTCACAATCACTCATGCCATCACCATTTTGCCAGAGGTATACCTAGAGTATACCTGGTGGGTGTTCTGAAGGTCAAAGCCCCAGGGGCCCAGTCCATGACCAGGCCTCACAGTGGACCAGGGCCTGATCAACCAGGCTGTTACTGCTGGCCACACATGATCCAACGTATGAACCACAGCCTGGCTGGTCAGGTACTGATTTTAGGTTAGTACCCTGACTCTTTAACCCTTTCAGGGTCCGTCCCGTAGATCTACGGCTTTACGTTCAGGGTCCAAACCGTAGATCTACGCCATGAGCTCAGCTCACTCTGATAAACTGTGAGTGGTACATTTGGGCCTAGATATGAGAGAATACATCTATGTGGTATGTGTGCACCACATAAAACAGATCCTGCAGCACACTGTGTATAATGAGAGAAAAAAAAATGAAATCATGATTTTTCGATTAAAACAGCAACTTTGCAGTGTTTTTTCGTATGTTTTTTATAGTTGTATTTGCGATTTCTTGGTCTCATTTGATAGAATGGAAGACATATTACAGAAATAGAGATGATTTTGATTGGTTTTAGCACTGGAAATGGCTTGAAACTGAGCTCAAAGTAGCAGAAATGTTAAATTTTTGCCGATATTCAAGAGTAAACAAACGACCTCACACGTCTAATACACGCCAGCTGGTGGGTCTAATATACATTCACAAATATGGTGATGATATTTATACAATTATTACAGTATTGCATAACAGTAAATCTTCTATTTTTTGGTTTGTGAATAAAAAATTCATTATGTGAATAAAAAATCAAAATGGAATTTATTTGTAAAGCCTCAAAACATAACTAATGAACAGAGGAAATGTTAGTTTAGTGCCAGGAATGCCTACATTGTTCATTCTGGACCCTATTTTGAAATTGGAATATTTTGAACTTTGTGTTAAATTGGCCAAATTAACAATTTCCGATCACTTTATTTTGTAGTTGAAACAGTTGACTTGGCGATTTCTTGTGCTCAATCGATAGAATAGAAGTAATACTAGTGAAATAGCTAAGAATTTGGTTGATTGGAATAATGTAATTGGCCTAAAATGGGAGTCAAAGTCGGCAAAATCGCCGATTCGTAAATATCGCTGACACATCAAAATTCGCGAGAGCATAATTTCGTCAATTTTCCACCAAATTTCGTACTTTTTGTTTTATTACCTTCACAAAAAGATTCTCTACGATTTCATAAGAAAAAATAACAAATTTTTTTTTTTTTGAAAATTCTTGGACACTGGTGCGTGACTCCAGATTTGGGCCTTGGACCCTGAAAGGGTTAAGACAGCTGGGGGTTTATTGCTAATCCCCCAACACTTACTGTGTTGTCTCTTAGTGTACTCGTGGAACCCCTGCTTTTCACTGGGGGGGATATTGCACTGCCTGCAGTTTTTTGCTTTCTTAGGGAGTGATTTCCATGTGTAAATTTGGAATTAGTTGTTCTAGGATTTTCTAAAGGGTATATTATCATGTATCTTTCAAGGGACTTCAACTGTTCCTTCCCAGTAATTTAGATGCTTCAGTGTACCTATGCGTGCAGTGAAAATTCCAAGTCTGCAATTTTGCCTGCCTTGAAAGGGAACTTTAGTGTACATCAATGTTTTCTTCTCCACCATAGGAAAAAACTAGAGAGCAGAATCCCAAGCTCAAACACCCCACCAAAAGACTACCTCACTGGCACCTACCCGAATACACTATTATAAGCACCGACCAACCCAACAGAAGTTTCACCTATCATCAACACACTTAAAAACAAGGCAGGAAATTTAACCCTTTCAGGGTCGGCAGGCCCTCTCCAAAACTTGTTCTCAGGGTCGCCCAAATTTCAAAAAAAAAAAAAAAAAAATTTCTTATGAAAAGATAGAAAATCTTTTCCCGATCATAATGACACCAAAAGTATGAAATTTGATGGAAAACTTACGGAATTATGCTATCACGAAGTTAGCAATCTCGACAATGTTTACGCATCGGTGATTTTGGCCACTTTGAGCCTATTTTCGGCCAATTCCAGTGTACAAGTCGACAAAAATCATAACTATTTCACTAGAACTCCATTTTTTCTATCGAATGAGTACTAGAAACCACCCATTTACCAATTTCAACTATCCAATACAGTGGTCAGAATTTAGCAATTTTGCCAATTTCACACAAATTTCAAAAGATGCCAATTTCCAAAGAGGGTCCAGAATAAACAAGAAACATATTCCTGGCACTAAAATAACATTTCCTTTGTTCATTAGTCACATTCCCATGCCCCTCTTACATTCTTTTGCTAACCACTTTGAATTTTTATTCTCACAAAAAATAAAAGATTTACTGTTATACAGACTACTGCATTATTGCACTTGTGAAAGAATATTAAACTTACCAGTTGATGTGTATTGGACACTTAGCGTGATTTGTTTACTTTTGAACTTTGGTAAAAATCAAACATTTCTGCTACTTTGAGCTCAATTTCAAGGTACTTTTCATTGTAAAACCAGTCAAAATCATCTCAATTTCTCTAAAATATCTTCCATTCTATAAAATGAGACCAGGAAAACTAGAATACAACAATAAATACCATACGAAAATACAGTGCAAAGTCGCTGTTTTAATCCAAAAACATGGTCAAAGTTTTTTTTCTCATTACGCACTGTGTGCTGCAGGATTTTTTTTATACTGCGCACACTGACCACATAGACCCATTTTTTCATATGTAGGCCTACCAGCTTTCTCTCATTAGATTTGAGGGCGCTAGAATTTAGGCATACTAGTACGTCAAAAACCCTGGTGCGTAAGCTGTACTAGTACGTCCAAAACCCTGAAAGGATTAAATAACTTACTACCTTTTATGTACAAAAAAGCTTCTCAAGTACTGTCACCAATTATTGCAACACTCTTAAACCTTTTGACTGTTTTGGTCGTACATATACATGTACATCTTACGAGCCAGTGTTTCAGACGTATATATACTCAATAATTCTAGCAGCTTCAAATCAAGCAGGAGAAAGCTGGTATGCCTACATGTGAGAGAATGGGTCTGTGTGGTCAGTGTGCACCATATAAAAAGAATCCTGCAGCACGCAGTGTATAATGATAAAAAAAAAACTCCAACCATTTTTTTGGATTAAAACGCCAACTTTGAGGTGTATTTTCGTATAGTATTTATTGTTATATTCTCATTTTCATGGTTTCACGTGATAAAATGGAACACACATATTACAGAAATGGAGATGATTTTGACTAGTTTCACGATGAAAACAACCTTGAAATTGAGCTCAAAGTAGCGGAAATGTTCGATTTTTACCAATGTTCAAGAGTAAGCAAATCACACCACACGTCCAATACACGTCAACTGGGGAATCTAATATTCTTTCACTAGTTCACTGATATTATTTACACTATTTTTACAATAATGCAGAAGTCTGCATAACAGCAAATCTTCTATCTTTTGTATGAATAAAAAATCAAAATAGAAAGCAATAGTAATACAAGAGGGCCCTAGAGACATGACTAATGAACAGAGGACATGTTATTTTAGTGCCAAGAATGTCTACATTGTTTATTCTGGACTCTATTTTGAAATTGGCATCTTTTTTAATTGTGTGAAATTGGCCAAACTGCCAACTTCTGACCAATTTATTGGGTAGTTCAAATCGGTAAATGGGCGGTTTCTTGTTCTCAATTGATAGAAAAAATAGAGTTCTAAAGAAATAGCTATGAGTTAAGTCAACTGGAACAACAGAATTGGCCAAAAGTAGGGCTCAAAGTCGACAAAATCGCCAATGAGTATATGTCGCTGAGACCGCTAACTTCGCAGGAGCATAATTCCCTGAGTTTTCGACCAAATTTCGTACTTTTGGTGCCATTACCATTGAGAAAAGATTCTCTATCATTTGATAAGAAAAAAACAATATTTTTTTTTTTTGACAGTTTCAGAAAGGAGCTTGCGACAGTCAAAGGGTTAACCAATCCATTGAATCCATGCACATAAAGGCCCAAAAATTTGGAATTCATTACTAGTGAATACCAAAGGAACCCTGTCTGTACATCAGTTCAAGACTCTTCTTAAAAACCACATACTCACCCAAAACTAAATACACAGTACAGTGGACCCCCGCATAACGATATTAATCCGTCCATGAGAGCTCACTGTTATGCAAAATTATCGTTATGCGGATGAATTTTCCCCATAAGAAATAATGGAAATCAAATTAATCCGTGCAAGACACCCCAAAGTATGAAAAAAGACATTTTTACCACATGAAATATTAATTTTAATACACACAAACTGAAAAAGGCATGCACAATTACATGACACTTACCTTTATTGAAGATCTGGTGATGATTGATGGGATGGGAGGAGGAGAGAGTCTTAATGTTTAGAAGGGGAATCCCCTTCCATTAAGACTTGAGGTGTCAAGTCCTTTTCTGGGGTTACTTCCCTTCTTCTTTTAATGCCACTAGGACCAGCTTCAGAGTCACTGGACTTCTGTCGCACAACATATCTGTCCATAGTGGCCTGTACCTCTCGTACCTCTCATTCCTTTATGACTTCCCTAAAGTGTTTCACAACATTGTCAGTGTAATAGTCGCCAGCACGGCTTGCAATAGTTGTGTGAGGGTGATTTTCATCCATAAAGGTTTGCACTTTCAGCCACATTGCACAGATTTCCTTAATCTTTGAGGTAGGCAACTTCTTCAATTTCTCTCTCCCCTCCTCCGAACCAGTTTCCTCAGGTCTGGCCTCTTGCTGTTGAAGATGATCTAGCAGTTCATCAGTGGTTAGTTCTTCATTGTCCTCCTCCACCAACTCTTCCACATCCTCCCCACTAACCTCCAACCCCAAGGACTTCCCCAATGCCACAAAGGATTCCTCAACTGGCATAGGATTCCCAGGGTTAGCCTCAAATCCTTCAAAATCCCTTTGGTCTACACATTCTGGCCACAGTTTCTTCCAAGCAGAGTTCAAGGTCCTTGTAGTCACTCCCTCCCAAGCCTTACCTATAAGGTTTACACAATTGAGGATATTAGTGATCTCTCCAAAACTCTCTTAGAGTCAATTGAGTTTCTGAGGTCACTACAAAGCACCTTTCAAACAGAGCTTTTGTGTACAGTTTTTTGAAGTTTGCAATAACCTGCTGGTCCATGGGCTGCAGGAGAGGAGTGGTATTAGGAGGCAAAAACTTGACCTTAATGAAGCTCATGTCACCACAAAGTCGCTCTGCCAAGTCTGTAGGATGACCAGGGGCATTGTCTAACACCAGGAGGCACTTAAGGTCTAATTTCTTTTCAGTTAGGTAATTTTTCACATTGGGGGCAAATGCTTGGTGTAACCAGGTATAGAAAAAGTCCCTAGTGACCCATGCCTTACTGTTTGCCCTCCACAGCACACACAAATTAGCCTTGAGGCTAAGGCCTGAACGCTCTGGGAGTTTCAGAGCGATACACTAATAAAGGCTTAACTTTGCAATCATCTCTAGCATTGGCACACATTAACAGAGTAAGCCTGTCTTTCATAGGCTTATGTCCTGGGAGTGCCTTTTCCTCCTGAGTAATGTAGGTCCTGCTTGGCATTTTCTTCCAAAACAGGCCTTTTTCATCACAATTAAACACTTGTTCAGGTTTCAGTCCTTCACTGTCTATGTACTCCT